AGGTATCGTATCCACCGCGGAGGTGGTTAGAATTTATCTATATAATCCCCCTTGCGCACCCCAAAAACACCCTCCCATGGCACTCCACCACACCTCCACCTCCTCTTGCCACCACAAATCACATTAATAACACGGACCAGGAGTAATATCCTATGGTAAGAGCAACCATATCCGGCCTGTGGAAATGAGACAGGTAAAAAATGTCCCAATTTGCCTATTCATTTATTTTTTCCGATTTTTGTTTTTTACAACATGATGTTACATAAAATGTGGTGTTTTAACCAATTGGTGTCACTGAAAACCAGCTTGTTCGCTAAACTGCGTTTTCATTCAGTGTGTACTGCTGTTATATTCCGGGAATGATTGAATAATGATAAGCCTCAAGAAATACCCTAGCGTGTTTTGAGTGGACAGGCGCGATGATTCTTACTGTCCCCAAACGCCTTGGTTGTAGTTTCCATTGATAAAGCAACAAGGGAATTTGAGGCTGTCGTGCGAAAGGTTTGGATATGTTCCTCATACTGTATGTTTAAGCAATTTGGAATTCGCATCTGAGATTTCGCGCAACGACTTAATGTGGACATCATTGAAGAGTATCGTATGCATATAGTTGCGAAAGTCATTACCAGATGCTATGCAATGCAATGATAATTAATAATGTGATTGTTTACTTTTTTTAGATACCAAGGTTGTTGCACCTCGGTTACCTGTTCAAATGAACAAACCAATGAGAATGAGAAGTTATCATGTAATAATTTAAGTTGTAGTTGCATGCGGGGACTAAGTCCAGATTATTTAAATGCAAACAATGGTCTGTCTGGTCGGTGACGGCTGTTGTGCCAGTTACTATTAGCTCCTTGTAACAGGAGTGCAGAAGTGAGGTATTTCGAACTAGACAGAATGCAACTGGCTCTCAAAGAGATAGATACAGAGGATTGTTGAAAAGCGGATTGATGACCGTAGTCAGACAGAGTCAGATAAAGTCAATGCGGATCAAGTAGCAAGACGTTCGTTCGCACTGAGTTCAAAGCCATTTAGAAAATAATGGAATGGCCCCTCGAGATCGATGAAACGATTCCCGGTTTTTCTATAAAAAGTAAAACGTGCGTATCAAAACCATTGATGAATTTCAATGTTTGCACATTCCTTTCCTTTGAAAATGACAAAACGTAATCTTAGTGCACTTCTCACGAAATTGGTTAGCCTTAAGAAAATTATCACCTATTATCGTCTCAGCTTGACCCACATGTTCTACTGGTCTATCTAAGTGGCGCACAAAACAGTGACATTTAACGGAATACATTTTATGTCCTCTTCTGAATTGTAACTTCGCTTGACTCTCAACAATCAGGTGGTTTTTTAATCGGTTTGTGTTCCGACCTTCTCCTTATTTACTAGAGTCATTTCTATACCAAGATGAAGGTTTAATTCGTAAAATCTATTCACCATGGAATTTTCTCTGTTCAAACACTTCGACTTAGTGTATATAGAGGAAAGGGAGCGTTATGGATCATGGATCATTAAACCAAACTCTTTAAATCGTGTGTGATTTTCTCGCATTAGCCACCACTTTTGGGACGCACAATGCTATCTGATTTCCCCACTGATGTACATTTAACGCAAGTGATTACTATCAGTTAGCAATATTTGTTTAAATAAGTCCGATAACAAAGTCTTTTTATTTAATTCGGTAGGTTGAGGCAAGGTTTAGAATGCTTGAGTCAATGACTGCAGATAAGCATTTTTGATTTGATTTCGTTGTTCGAGAAAGTTTGTGCTATTTTCAGAATGACTGACAAAGGAATATAGAGAAACTCGATTGCGAGTTCTCAAAAACAATTTCTGTATTGTTCTCACATGTGATGTCCCTACGCGCAAAACTTTTATAACTAACTGATGGAACATCCAAATAGGGGAGTTTGGTGCCTTCAATTCATTGCCCCCAGCTTCTTCATAAAACAAATGCTTAAGATGCAATCGCTATACCAACGGGACGCTTCTGACCGATTTTTTGTGGCAATCTTCGGTAGAAGAATGTCATTGCTCTTATTCCAATTGCACGTTCAACTGGCAGGGAGACAGGACTGTTGCTCCTGTCATAGGTGACATTGAGTATATGGTTTGCTCTCATTTACAAGTAAAAACTACACTGCTTAGAAATAAGCAAAGAAGACTAGGAGGTGTTTTCCCGAATAAAACAGTTATTTTCTGAAAAACGAGTAAAACGTATACGGGGAATCTCGCACATCAAATGAGATCGTGCGTGTTTTGTGGTTCATTTATACTTATTGACTACAAAACGTTTAATCATAACTCCTGGGTTTATTTTGGGGTAGAATGGATGTGTATTCAAATAACTTAAGACCATTCATGCAGACTGTTTAGGATTTTTCGTCGTCGATTCGTTAATGATAACTTATACCCAAATGCTTCATCAGTGTCTAATGTCAAAAGGGAACACCAATATCACGATACTCTCAAAGCATACATACTTGTTATAAGCTCCAAAAATGATGATATTCACACAATAATCTAATACTATTATGGCAACAAGTCCAATGATGAAGTTCCTAAACATTCTGTCTAAGCCAACCTTTCCAAGAGCACAGGGATAAATTGCGTTAGATTTGTAATTTACGCAAGTTGTTTCAATCTATTCATTGCTTAACTCGGATATCCATTATTAATGGTTTTCATCAGCAAACAGGCAATGATACACCAACTTTCGTACGGTATTCATATTGTTTTATCGGCGTTTATCGGGCGTACATGATTAGATGAATGTTGTTTGTTTTGGACTCGGTCTGTGCACTCCCATTCCCCACCCGCTTGTCACACTAGACACACTTCTGACTGGGAATCACATGCGCGATCGTGTCGTTACGATTTTGTTGCCCGAAGTACACATACGACGGATTGATTAAATTTGTCACCCCTAAAAATAGACGGTTTCATACGCACATCAAGTCCAGTTCCTTTGATTTTCGCCGTTGTTTTGTTTCACATCTGGTCATAGAATTGATTTGGTGTACGAATAAACCGATTCTCCACTGTTCTGTATTACTCTCTGAGCATCTGTAGTGCAAGAGTCCTCACTATTAGCTCCAAAACCAAATAATCCTTTCACTGATTATCAGTATGAGTACATTTATGGGAAATGAGACATCGTCTATCATCCCTTGCATGCTTATCGCATTATCCTAAACTTAAAATGCCTCAGGTAAAGAAACTTAAATTTATGGGTAATTTGACCTCATCCATATGCAATCCATCATACAGAAAAGATGAAAAGCCACTTCTTGTCTGACGAATGGAGAGATGACGTTTTGAAACCCTAAAGCTGCGATCAAATGTCACTGTAAGTGCGCAGATATATGGAGATAATCATAACGTTTAGGGAATGTAAAAGTTTAAGTGTTAGACATGCTTACTGGTAAATTTGAACAGACATAATGTGCGAACTGTCTTGACCTCAAACGGGACAAGCCTAACAAAGGTGGTGCATCGTTGGGTTCGCATTCGAAATCCAAAAGGTGCCCTCTCAGTTGTATCCAGTAATCGAATGAAAAGACCGCAATCGGAGCACTGCCATCCAAAAGCTTCAATTCACACGAGAGTAGGCCAAATTCTCACCCAAAGAATCACTCCAATGGCGGGTGTCTCCTAAAGAAGCAACTAGCTGAGCTCATCAGCTACCATATCTTGACGAGGGTGCTTCTACTAAAACAAGGGGTCGAAAATTCGACATCCGTGGTTATGGTCTGCTTATCGAGCCATAGACCGTTGGTTCATCTTAATGGGATCCACGTACTCTAAGTATAGAAATCAGTGGTTAAGTTGCATAAAGAGGTAGACATGTAGAAAGCCGATAGTGGATTTGATAACTGTCTGACCGAACACCGAATTCATTTGAGCTGCAGTTTTGAATAAGTAAATCTTTTTGTGGAAGATAAGGCCTCAGAGTTTGTTTGGTTTTGGAAACCTAGCAGTATTATACTAACGAACAAATCATGGAACGATTTGCGTTCATTAGAGATGAAATGCTCCATAAATGCACTATCACACATTCTATGTCGCCTGTTCGCCGAGCTTGGCAATTTGTTTGCAAACGTTTCATCACCAGCCGAGGTGACATCATCAGTGCTTGTGACTGTGAAGGGCCACTTCGCAAGCATTGATGGTGATGAAACATTTGCAAGCAAATTGCCAAGCTCGGCGAACAGGCGAAATAGTATTCAGTACAACCGAGCTACGAGACCCGATTTTCAATACTTTGTCAACACTATCACACACGTTAACAGAATATTACAGTTTTTGCGTGAGAAATATCAGAAACTAGGCCCCGTCTATCGTAATAGTTGGAGGATATGATACATGTTTTGCCCATCTATTGGTGATCTTTGCGAGCAGAAGTCATGGTTTTGCACTTAAAAAGAAATCTTTAGCCTGGTTAACAAAGTATGGATGACATCTTTCGGTTTTTCCAGTTCAATTTTGTTTTCTGCTTTTTGTGTGTTTAAAAAATGAAACGGTTAGTACAAATCAGTGGAAAAATGAAAAATTTCATTTCATTTTTGATTTCAAAATTCCATTAAGATGCTGCTCAGTTCACGATATAGAATGCAATTGAGCCAGTTAACCAATGTTGGTTTGCAAAGGCCGTAGTTAGTGTAGATGAACGCTGTTGAGAGTGAATGGTTTTGTTGAGTGAGTGAGTGTTTATGTGTAGAAAGGTGAAGGGAAGTGTTAGAAAGTGATAAGGAAGTGACCAGAAGTGGAGCATGAATGAAGGATGACTGTTTCACACATTATTTTAAAATGAAATCATACTGGCTAGGTAGAATAATTTTTGTGTTTGAAATGTGAGAACTGGAATGAGATCTGATGTAAAAATATACATACACGGATGTATTTATAACTCTGTATGACTAATTCCTTTAGCAAATCTTGATCACGCTAAGACGGCGGATAATAATTTTACAAATTCCTTTCACCACGAGTTACTCCTGCCCCAGAGCATTTTCCGAATTAGAATGGGCCAAATCACCTGCGGGAAACATTCGATCGTTTCCGAAACGTTTATGCAGTTCACTACTCAAACTTTTTGCCGCCTTCAGCTCGCGAAGTTTTTGTTGCTTCAACTTTTGTTCCGTCATTCGGTGCTCGAATTCACTGGCAGCCACACGAATACGAGCCATTTCCAAATTGATTCTTGTTCCGCGTCGTCCCTGCTCGCGGTAAAGTGAAGAGATTGTATCCTGCGGATTGTATTCCGATTCGGTACGATCCACTTTGTCTGTGGAAGTCTGATTTCGTTCGCCCAAACTTGACACCTCACGATCGATAGCACTCATACATTTCAGTACAGGATGAGAGGCTGCGCGTTGTCTGGTCCCAACTTGACTCTCTCCTTTGGAAATTTGTGACGGCATTTCGATTTCCGTGTCCCATCGGGAATCGAGAGAAAGTTTTTGCGAGTGCAGGAATTGTTTGGTTGTGTCTTGTTTGATCCAACGTAACATGCTCTCGTATCGGGTCACCTCATCTTCGTAGATGCGTTCAAATGAAATGGCTAAACAGACACTACTGTGATAACGAAATAGCATGACCATAGGTAACATGACTACGATGAACATGTGCAAACCTCGCTGTTCTGCTTGCTGATACAAAGTGGCACTCATTGTGAAGAGGACATCGTTGTGTTTCACCTGTATATGTAAATGTGGAAAGGTATGGGACATCGGTTCAATTAGCTGAAATATTGATGACAATCGCAAACAGAACGTTAAAAATGTACCGATTTTCTATCGTTCACTTACTATACAAATACGCAATAAAGTTCCACTGCTTTGACAGAACTTTTGAAATGCACATATCTCCAGTGGGATTCAAAACGACACCATGTTTTTTTGAAGACAAGTGGGTGACAGTTTTATGAGGTGATGAAGGGCTTCAATATACACGACCTCCATGCCGGTATGGTGGTCAATAGATGATTCTTTTGACTGGATTGTGTTTGTAGAAGGTAACAACTTCCCACTTTAAGAGCCCTTAGCAGACATTACCTTAATGTATTGAAAGAATGGAACTAGTGATTTATCGGACGGAGAGAACTGACAAATGCTATATGCTTGATAAACTTGACCATTCACCGGCAATTACTTTATTAAGATTCACAACTGGGTTACGTAAAGCTGTGATAACACGTTACCCAATTATCAAACAGTTATTGGGTTAATTAGTTCCTTCACCAAAATGACTATGTTCCCTACGGACCTATAGTTATTTGATAAGCAATATTTTAGGTGTAATCTCATTTCATTCAGTTGATAGCGTGTGTTTATCCAGCTGTCTGGTCATTTTTCTACAACACTGATAGTTACGCATCATTTATTTTCCGAAATAAACTTGAAGAGAGAGCACAACAAAGCTAAGTTGTACGATTTATGTCAAGGCAGATTTCGCTGTATTTTAACTGGTACAATACGGCAAAAAATTACAGTTATATTAGGTTATACACGAATACGAGGGTCGAATCATCACACTTTTACCACTGCCGAGACATTGATGGTGTGACTGAGAGTTCTTTTAGCACACACAGGCCAGGTTTCCATTTCCTGATTGCAACCGACTCGGCAAACCTAAGCAGCCGAAGGTTGGTGTTAGCATAAACGATCATAAATCGACTTGTCGGGTATGCACCATGACCCGTCATCAACAAATGTCGAATGATAAGTGACGCAGGCTATCTGTGTATTCGGTGTCCTTAGATAGGGGTGCGAGGTTGCTTCTGATGTAATGCAATGTAATGAGTGCGTTACTCGCGGGTGATGTGCGCGCGTGGGTTTGAGGGGTCAAATCGGAGACTGACCTTTGATCACCTGTTTCGGTCAATTGGTATCTAACCCACCATGGGATGTGCTCGTGGATCCGTGCTTGCAACTGCCTATCTGTTCTGCCAATGTAAGATGCTCCGCATCCACATCGATATTCATCACTGACGCACTCAATTACATTACATTACATCAGAAGCAACCTCGCACCCCTATCTAAGGACACCGAATACACAGATAGCCTGCGTCACTTATCATTCGACATTTGTTGATGACGGGTCATGGTGCATACCCGACAAGTCGATTTATGATCGTTTATGCTAACACCAACCTTCGGCTGCTTAGGTTTGCCGAGTCGGTTGCAATCAGGAAATGGAAACCTGGCCTGTGTGTGCTAAAAGAACTCTCAGTCACACCATCAATGCCTCGGCAGTGGTAAAAGTGTGATGATTCGACTCTGTCGTAATCGAGTGTGATCTGATGTACTGTTTAACGATATAAAGTCTACAAGTTGAAATACAACGAAATCTGCCTTAGCATAAATCATGCAACCTAACTTTGTTGTGCTCTCTCTTCAAATTACGCACCAATCCCTTCGTTAAGACAGTTTCTGACCCTGGTAGAGGAGAAACCGCTTTGTTTTTAGATAAACACACGAGAAATCCCATTGAAAGTATTTATTGGACAAGATAGTCGCTGTCCGAACTGTAAATGCTTTCCGTATGAGCTGAGCTCTAATAAAATTCGAATGGAAGAGCAATGGAAATGCATGATGAATGCTTCGCGGGTATGATTGTTCGAGGGAACCACATAATCGACGCTAAAAATTGTTATATATCTAACCAGGCGTAGTAATCATTAAAATTAACTAAACAACTTATTTTAAATTCTTCAACTTTATGTATGGATTTAAATCAATTGCACACACACACAACAAACGCTATGGAAATAATGACTGTCTTCGAATAGTGTTTTATTTGTTGTGGAATATGCCCCAGAACGGCAACAAGAAAAGTGCGTCATTTTGATCTTACCTGAAAGCTGTAAATCATCCACAACGAGAAGTTGATCGCCGATAAAACAGCAATGATACCTCGTCCCGGACGAGTTTTCCAATACGATTCATGATGGCAACATCGGTAAAACATGTCGTGAATCAGATAGGTCTGAACCATCACCTGGATCAATTCCATTATTAGTGCTACCAGTTGTGCAGTCATCTTGTACATTTCTTTAGTCGTTAGATGTCCGGAGGTCAGATAAGCCACGCAGAGAACACAGCAAGCCACAAAAAAGTTTACTGTTAGGAAGAAGGTGACCAGTAACAATTTTTCGTCCAAACTGTTCTTGGCAAAATTCACCGAGAATTTCAGTTTCCTTATTGTGATGATCCCGGCTACGCTGAGAATCAAGGAGCAAATATACAGCAATATGGTCTCAGACAAGTGCCAAATTGGTCGATAATAATCGATTCCGTGATCAGCAGTTTCCAGATAGAGAATAATCACCAAGACGAGGACGCACAAAATGGAACCCAACATCAGACCCACATATGTTTGGAGCTGTGGACGTTTTTCTTGTTTTTCTGCTTTCTTCACAAATTTATCCATGAAAAAGATGAGAGGGAGGAAGAAACGAAATGTTAAATTTGTTTAAACAGCAAGCTTTCTTTTTGTAAACTATACCAATATCTGCGTAGTTTTAGGCAGAACTAAATAGGGGGAGAATTTT